GGCAAGACATGGGGCCAGAGACTGGGCTCTTGGGCTCTCAGGGGGCAGATCTCCTAAATCACACCATCTCCCCAGGTCCAAGGGGAGGCCACACTTGTCCCTAATGTAGCCCAAGGCGTGAGGAGGGGCAGGGGACCTGTAAGCTCGGGCATCCCTCCTCGCACCCGCACCTCTGCCCCCGGAGCCCAGGCCCGAACACCGCTGTGTTTCCCACCAGTGCTCACTGTCCACTTGCTCGGGCCTCACGGGGCAGGCAGTCAGCTTCGTAAGGGCCCTGAGAGAGCAGGAGAGACCCCGTGCCCGGGATGGGAACATGCCTGAGGGCCATCAGTTCTTGCCCGGGGACATGGCAGGCACAGGGGACCCCCTCACTGCCTGCCCAGGCCCCGCTGACCCTTCCTTTCCACCCCCCGCCCTCCCTGCAGGTCCCTGGAGCTCCTTTTCGCCAGCGGCCAGAACAACAAGCTCCTGTATGGGGACCCACCCAAGTCCCCACGTGCCACCCGCAAGTTCTCCTCACCACCACCGCTGTCCCTCACCAAGACGTCCTCCCCCAGCCGCCGGCGCAAGCTGTCCCTGAACATCCCCATCATCACGGGCGGCAAGGCCCTGGACCTGGCCGCGCTCGGCTGCAGCTCCAACGGCTACACCAGCATGTACTCGGCCATGTCGCCCTTCAGCAAGGCCGCGCTGGACACCAGCAAGCTCTACGTGTCCTCGGGCAGCTTCGCCAACAAGATCTCGGACGAGGCAGACACAGCCGTCGAGAGGCCGGAAGACCCCTCGGCCCTCAGCAAGCAGAGTGAGTGGCCACTCGGCCGGCGGCCCCCACCCCTGTGGCCCCCATGGGGCAGGAGGGGAGGTGTGGGTGTCCCGGCCACAGAGACTCCCCAGGGCACTGACGACAACTTCCTCCCCAGTCCCTGGGGGTGTCTGCCAGGCTGCAGTCAGCCTCAGGCATAGTCCCACCTCCAGGTTCACTGTCTGGCTAAGGGGCCGGGGCAGACGTGGAAACATGGTACGTGCAGTGCTGGGAGGGTCACAGAGGAGAGTGGGGATCCCCCCCCCGAGAGCCAGAGAAGGCTTTGGGGAGGAGCCGTGAGACCCAGGTTTCCAGGAGGAGGGAAGACGCTGAAGACAAAAGCCGGTGTTGCTCAGAGGTTAAGCGTCGACCCATGAATCTGGAGGTCACAGTTCAATTCCCAAGGATATTTTTTCCATTGCTTTTCAGAGAGAGTGGAAGAGAGGGAGGGAGGGAGGAGAGAGGGAGAGAGAGAGAGAGAGAGAGAGAGAGAGAGAGAGAGAGACATGGACTGGTTGCCTCCCCGAACTCGGGGATCAAACCTGCAACCCAGGCACATACCCTTGAGCAGTAATCAAACCCTTGACCACTTCGGTGCTCGGGTCGAACCGCTGAGCCACACCGTCCAGGACTGGACACTTTTCTAAAGAGGAGACCTGTCTTCTTTCGAGTTCTCAAAAGCGTCAAACGCAACTCCATTCACTCTGTAGTTGGGGAAACTGAGGCCCAGAGTCGCCGCGTTTCTGATAGAGGCCTCACCATAGGCCAGAGCCGAACTTTTAATACAACTCATCAGCTTTCCCTAAAGTGCACGAACCATGAGTCCCCACGAACCCGGGCATCACCTGGGGGGCTGTTAGAAACCCAGACCCCGGGCCCCAGCCCAGCCCTCTGCCTCAGGCTCTGCGCCCCGACAGGCTCCCCGGGTATGCGGGGAATGTCGCAGAAGCCCAGGTAGAGCTTTCACAGAGCCCGTCCGCACGTGACAGGGCTGACCAGGCCGGACGAAGCCCTTAAACTTTCTTCCGCCAGTCTATCCCACGCTTACTCTGTTTTGCATCAATGAATTACAGGCCTGAATCAAAAAATCAGTGACCATTTGAGAAACACAAAATCATCTCCTTTCCTCGCAGGCTCGGACGTCTCCATGAGGGAAGAGTCCGATACCGATCAAAACCAGAGCGACGATGCAGACACCGAGACATCCCCGACCAAATCTCCGACGACACCAAAATCTGTCAAGAGCAAAAATTCCTCAGGTACGAGTCACCAAACCCAAGCTGCAGACAGATGCCCGGAGTGGGCACGAGGTCTGGGCAGGGACGGAGGCAGCCGGTCACATGGAGAGAGGGCGAGTGGCTCTCACACTCTGTGACCGTGGGGCTGAGTCACCAGCTGGGTGGGTCCTGCTCTTCCACCAGCAAAGTCACTCCCGGCCCCAGACAGGACTCAGCCCACCCGGCGCAGGTGGAGCGAAGGCCAGCATTGGGGGCCGCTCCAGGTCCAGAGGTGTCTCCTGAGTGGGCTCCATGTCATGTGCCTCTGTCACGGGGCCTGGTTATTGCTATTTTTCTTTTTTATTTTCTTTTTCTTTGGTTAATCCTCAAGTTAAGATACTTTTTCCATTGCTTTTCAGAGAGAGTGGAAGGGAGGGAGGGAGGGAGGGAGGGAGAGAGAAACATCAATGTGAAAGAGACACATTAATTGGTTGCCCCCCACACAGGCCCTGACCAAGGGGCGAGGAGTGAACCCACAGCCCAGGTACATGCCCTTGACCAGGAATCGAACCCTCAACCCTTTGATATGTGGGCTGACGCTCTAACCACTGAGGAACACCCTCGAGGGCCCATTTTTCCGTTAATGAAACAGACTCTGATGGGCTGTGACGATGCCCACCCGAGTCTCAGACTCGCTTCCTGAAGGGTCCTTGAGGACCCGTCTGGGTCTCCTGTTCCCATAAAGCACCTCCCCGCACTCGGGGCTCTGAGG